CTGCAGGAGTCTGGAAAGGGCTCTCTTTTTTCTTGCTTTGAATATGGATTTTATTAGGAGGTGCGTCTGCTTTTATACACGTAACTAAAAGGCTGTAAATGTAAATACCTCATAAAGGCTCTGAGAAAGGCTCTCACTCTGTAAATAGGGCAAGAAGGAGGACGACACTTGTGAAGGCAGAAAGCGTGAGCTGCGGGGAGCAGGTGGCACTGCCGTGTGTGACACCTGTGCTCAGATTCCGTTAACTGACAGATCTGCTTAGGGGAGCCACGCTGCATCGCAGCATCATACTGGTTTTATTAGTCCTTGTTTACATTTTCAAGGAGGCTGGCAGCTGGCTGTCTGTGGAGGGAGGGATGGTGGGACTAAAACTGAGCAAGCCAAAGCAAAGTAAGAAACGAGCAATTGGGAACATAGGGTCACGTTTTCCCTTTTTCTTGGTACCGAGTGGTAGCTTACCCTTTGACTAGCTGGAGGATACTTGGCTTGTTTGCCAGGTTTTGGTGATACTGAATGAACTTGATGTAAATGCTCAGGTAGAGGCTTTTGTGCAGAAGGAAGTTTTCATTTCTCTTGCATGCGTGCCTGGGGAAGGGATGGCTAGGCCTACGGTAAGTCTGTGTTTACCACGCCTCACTGCCAAGCTGCTTTCCAAAGTGGCTGTACTGTTGCAGTTCCAACAACAATGCGTGAGGATTCAGTTTGTATCATTTCTGCGCCGTCACTTAGTCCTGTTACTATGCTTTGTTGTGTTTGCCACTCTAATGCGCTCACAGGGCAGCGCATTGTATTTTGATTTGTGTCTCCCTGATGGCTGGTGGTGGTGGTTTCTTGATTCAAGGAAGCCAGCAGGGCATTCGCAGCAGCTGGCGATGGCCTCGAGGGCCAGCAGTGTCCTGGGTGAAAGGAGGCCTGGGTTCCCAGGAGCCTGGCGTCCTGGGAGTCACCCGGGGCACTGGAGCTGGCAGTCACTGGGGTGAGGGGGAGCCCGCAGGGAGCCCCTCAGGGCCGCAGGGGTCAGCCTGGGGCTGGGGCCGGGGCAGGTGGGTCTGGGGTCGGTATTGAACTCACGTTACTCTCCATTCCCCGGGGAAAGGGACTTTCTTTGCGCTGGGCTGCCCAGGCTTCGGAGAAGGGTGTTTTGGAGGCCTGGGTTCCCAGGAGGCCACCAGGAGCCGGGTGTCCCAGGAGCCACCGGAGCTGCTGGACTTGGCAGCTGCAGGGGGGGACAGAGGCCGGGCCCCTAGGAGCCCACAGCAAGAGCTGCTGTGGCAGCGGCCTGAGGCGGCTTTCTCTGCGGGGACTTGCTGGAGGGGGGGCCCGGGGTGAGGCCCGGGGGTGGGTGGGCCTGGAATCCTTGGCTCTTGGGAGGTATTTTCATGGGCAGATAATTTTCAAATTGATATTTCTACGGGGAGCTGAGTAGATGTCACTTCTAGAAACACTTTTTTTCTCCCCCTTTCAACCTGTATTCCTTCTATTTTTTTTCCCCTTGCCTTATTGTCCCTGAAAGAGCCTCTAGTAAAATGTTAAGTTGGATCCATGAGCACAGACATCCTTGCCTGGCTCCTGATCTTTGGAGGGAAATACGCCCTCTTTCACCCTTAAGTACCATGCTAGCTGTACTTTTCCTGAAGATGACGTTTCTCAGGTTAAGGAAAGTCCTTCAATTGCTAATTTGCCAGGGTTTGTTGTCTTGGATAACTATTACATTGTTCACTTTTTTTTGTATTTTGTTGCGATGGTCATATCCTTTCTCTTCTTTCATTCTTTTAATATGATGAATTATATTAACTCATTTTCTAAAGCTCCCCTCAGTACTTCTAAACAGATCTGTTATTTATGGAGGTGAATCTGGATTTTTTGTATCCTCCTCCCCCTCCCCCCTCCTCTCCCTCCCCCTCCTTCCACTCCCCCTCCTCCCCCTTCTACTCCCTATTCCTCTTCTTCTTCTTCTTCTTTCTTTTTCTTTCTTCTTCCACTGCCTCTGGGATTGAACCCAGGACCTTGTTCATGCGAGCATGCACTCTACCACTGAGCTATAACCTCCCCCTGTATGTTTGATTTTCATCCTCATTTCTACTCTTTCTGTTTCTTGCTCTCTCATTAGCTCTTCTTCCAATAATTGAAAAATTCTCTAAGGGAAAAAGTCAGTTTTTCTTATCTCTGGCTCCCTTAGGGCCATGACAATCATTTATCAATCCGGACCATTCGTGACAGGGGTTGGCGACAGGGGAGCTGAGGTACAGCTGAATTTGCGGGGTGATCCTGTGACAAATTTCAGTTTTTCTTCCTGATGCCTCCATAAGATTGAGACTGTGACCTTTGTATTCATAGGGAACAAGTGCCAAAGAAAATGCCCAGGAGTTTTTTCTCCCGTAACCCCTGCCAAAGTTGTTTGTTACGTGACCATACTTATAGCCCTACTTGCAACCGTGGTTGTACTTTCCGTTCTTTTGGCAGGTAAGTTACTTGTTCGCCAAACTTTACAATGCTCTTTGCACACTTATATTGCCAATAAATAGTTATCGAGTTCCACTATGTGTCAGGCACTGTGTAAAGTGCTTGAAGTATATCAGTGAACAAAACATGCAAAAAAAAAAAAACCCTAAAACCAAAAAAAACCCTGCTCCCAGGGAACTTCTAGCAGAAAGTCACAGACACTATGATAAATCAAATGGAAGTGGAAGAGATTGAGATACCCGTGTAGTGGCCAGGGTGAGCCTCCTTGAGAAGATGACCTTTCAGCAAACTTTTGAAGGAGACGAAGGAGCCATGTGGCTTTCTGGGGGAAGGCATCCAGGTGGAGGGAACAAGTAGAAAAAAAAAGAGAAACCCCCTTGGGGTGTATGAGGAACAGAAAAGAGGCCTCTGTAGCTAAAGCAAGGTGAGAATGCGAAAGAGTAGCAGGCCGGGGGTAGGGAAGCCATAGCCTTAAGAGGCAGTTCAAGGCTTTGACTTTTATTTGGAGTGTGGTGGGGATGATCAGCAAGAGGAAGTCATGAGAGAGGAACGCCATGATGGGACTTTCATTGTAGAAGAATCATTTTGGCTGCTGTATTGAGAATAGATTTTTGGAAGAAAAGGGCACAATCAGGAATTAAGATAATCTTGTAGAAACTCAGGCCAGAGATGAGGGTGGCTTGGGCCTAAGGGGAACAGTGGAAGTGGGACGGGGTGGTACGATTCTGGATATTTTGAAACTTGAGTCAACAGTATTTTCTATCAGATTGGATAAGGAAGGGAAAGGTAAGCTTTTGAACCAAAAATGTGTTTTCTTCCCATAGCCTACACTCTGAAATCTTGCTGCTTTCAGAGCATGTAACAAGGGCCAAAATATTTTTATACCTATTCAACAGAAATACATAGAAAACAGAACACTACAGGAAACCCTACATTGAATTTTTGGCCCTGGAATCAGTCTTTGAATTGTGTGATGTCTTGTCCACCAGGAGGCTTATACCCCCTTAAAAACGTACCATATATAGAAATGTACAGAGTACAATCTAGGGAAGGGAAGGAGTCGGCCTTTCTTTTGTCGAGAGGCAGAAGGGGTAATATCAAGGAGGAGGTGGGAAAGGGGAGTCTGTATGATGCCCGGGGAGAGTACTACAGAAGTTAAATGCTATAGAAACTGAGTTCCTTAAAGCCATCGGTGTCCGTGTTCCCCCAGGAAAACTCAGGTGCACAGGTACGCAGCTTGTAGTCCAGTGGACCCGGGTAAGACTGTTACTGATGACTTAGGAAAGCAACCATCGAATGTGCATACTTCAGTACTGAGCTCAGGGGTAAAAGATCACTGTATAAAGATAAAGATTTACTCACATACTAGTTTCTGGAGCACATTCTGTTCCAAGGCAAATCCTCAATATAATAAAATGATTTAGGAAAAAGCAACTACCACTAGCTTGCACTTGGCAGGTGATCACCGGCTCTCAATGCTGTATTCTCCCAGAAACCAGAAAAGGGACACTGATCTCAGAAGGCCTGCTGTTTTGGCAGGGAGTGAAATGCAGCCTCGTTTCTCCGTACTGTGTTGCAGTCGGTGTTTTATAAACGGTTGCCGCTGGCAGCGTTCCAAGAGGCGTTAGAAACGTTTGTCAGTAGCAGTCCCGCACGCCGCCAAAAGCGGAGCAGCGCCCGGAGGATGCATTACAGAGCCAGGCACTTGGGGCTCCACTTCCGGAAGCAGAATGAGATGATGGATGATGAAGGAAATGATGTAAGGAACACTGCCAATATAGGTAGAAAGGAAAACTATTTATTGGGAGATGTCCATGCACTTCTACCAATCTGTTTACCTGTAGAAAGTAGCCCCTGTTCAGATTTTATGAAAAACAAGATGGTTTTAGTGAAGGCCACAAAAGTCCAAGAGTCCAGTTGGTATGTAGGCATGGTTTTCTTCCCGTTCCTCACTTTGGAATTTGGTTGTATACATTCACACGCACATACACATGTGTATATATGTCTGTATACACATGTGTGAAAAAATAAGACTGACCTCAGGATGGTAAGTGGAAAAATCGGTACAAGCGATGAGAAAGTGTATTCATTGTCACTCGCTGTGTGTGTCCAAATTTTAGGAAGAAACACAGAGTACATTCCGTGTGTTACCTGCCCAGAAGGATGGATCGGATTTGGGAGTAAGTGCTTTTATTTTTCTGAAGACTCAAGGAATTGGACATTCAGCCAGATGTTCTGTGCCTTGTTAGATGCTGGTCTTGCTCAGTTTGAAACCAAGGAGGAGCTGGTAAGAAATATTTTCAGATCATGGCCTTTGGTGAATCCTTAGCCCCCCCGTGAAGGACCGGCTGTGTCAGGTTGCAGCTGGAAGAGGAGGAAGGAGCCCGGTCTGGGCAGACATGGTGGCGGGGGCTGCATGATGGCGCCTAACATTTGTTGGGGGTGTATTCTCTGCCTGAAACTCTGTGAGACAAGTTAGATACATTCTTGCATGTCATCTGCACAGTTAACCTGCGAGACCAGACATTTTTCCCATTGAATCAAGCAACATGGTATCGTGTAATTTATCACCCAAATTGGGACATTTGGGGGAGTGACAATATTAATATTAATAGTATGCTGGAACTACAGGTGTAAACTGGGAGTTTCTGAGTCAAGTTGGGATGGATGGTCGCTTTAAAGTAATTGAGGCTCGAGACATTTGGGTGACGTAAGCTGAGAATTGAGGACTGGGCTGTCTCTGGAGTCTAAGCTTCTCAGTTATTATGAGGCTCCCATCCAAAGGGAAAAGAAGGCCAGAGGGAAGAGAGACTCAAGAGAAGTGTGAAAGAGACATGTGTTTACTTTCTGTGTTTTATAACAGAATTTCCTGAGAAGATACAAAGGCCCTCCTGATCACTGGATTGGCCTTAGCAGAGAATCACCACATCACATTTGGCAGTGGACAGACACCAGTGCCTATAACGCCACGTACGTTTTTAGGTTTCTTTTCCTTCCATGGTGTTGGCATGTGGTTTTGCATGTGAATTTGTTCCTGAGAAAATAAATTTAACATCATGGGAAGCTATTGCACAATGGGGTAAGAAATATAAATCCTTTACCTACTCTTCCATTTATTAGCTGTGCCTTTGAAAAAACTTGCCTTATTGTGACTTCAGCTGAAATCTTTCATGTGAAGATGACATTTGACATGATTCTGCCACTTTCACCCTCTGACTTAAACTGCGCTGAGATATATATTAAGAATATAGAGGGAACTGCTGGTGCAGAATGAGGGTCCTGCAATCCCAGGAAGCCACTGAACACTCGCCACCCACAGGCTCTGGAGTCCACTCTCCCAGCTGCTGCGTCTCCCCGTTAGAGGAGGTGGTCAGGGAACCAGCGGGAATCCCTCCTGAGGTTTCCTCACCGGAGGGAACTCGGTAACCGCTCCTTGGATTGAGAACATCTCAGTGGGAGTGATGTGCATGTAACCGTTGCATTGGAGCAGATAAAACAG